GAACAGTGGTGGGCTCCCTGCTCTCTCCAGCCCCCTGCCCTGTGTTGGTTCACATGTCACATTCCCAGGCTGTGTTATTCTTAAGTACTGTAAATCTCTCACTATTATTCTCCCACTTGATATAGTGAGCTGTGTCATTTTGAAAGGAAATACATAACAGTATATTAAAGAAATCATGGATCTCCTCATTCATGTTTAAAACAAATTTATTACAATGTAAGAAACACTGAATAGCATGAATTTATTATAATGATTTAAAGCTCCTGGCACTTGAGTTAAAAATGTCTCTCATAAATAATTTTTTCTTGAAAACACAGCAAATTAATATAGTTTACCATTTCCAAAGTTATATAAATCCAAGAGGCTTAAATCAACAGTATGCTGAATAAGATTACTGTTGCTTAGCTAGAGCCCCGTATCACAGCTCAGAAGGATGCAGAAAGTAGCGAGAAATGGATGGGTTATTTTTTTCTGGTCACCTTTCTCTCCCTTCCACCACCCTAGGCTATGTCTGCTCTGTGAAAGTCAGACTCATGTGAAATGGATGGAAGCAGCTGTGGCCTTTGCACACAGGTATCATTAAAACAGGGCGGCTACTCCGCCACCAGACTCAACAAACGCCGCTCTGGTATTTCCCCAAGTGCCTCTAACACACACAGCCCCGTTGCTTTTGGTAGTGGTGTTTTAATTCGACTGCAGGAACTGAGATGTCTCCAGCTTAGTTGCCTCCAGCTCTGCTGCGGTCTCTCATGTCCAGAGCAAACCTGGTGCTCTCTGCTCTGCAGTGCTGGGGAGCATTCAGACAGTCATGGTCCGAGACTAAGGCTTATCAGAAGCTGTGTAATTATACAGTATGTTATACCTTCCCTCTTCTTAGTGGTCTGCAGCTCGGTAAGAACAATGCAATAGCTGCTCACGTTTGCAGGATGCGTGTAAGAACACGTATTTAGTGGGCTTGTGCAAAGCTACAGGGGAACTATAGGCGTGGAAGAGCTGTGTGTGAACAGCAGCCTGCATGTAGGTGCAGGAATCCCCGTAGGTAAGCCCATGCCAAGGGGCTGCACAGGGGCAGCAGAAAGGTAAGCGAAACCCCACGCATGACCAGAGCCATCAGTGAGACCATCGGGATTGTGGCTGGCACAGAGCTTGCCCCAAGCGCCACCCCTGGGGCTCAGCAGCAGTTGGCTACAGCAGTCTGTGCACATCTGTGCACATCTGTGCCTATTGGGAAGCAGTAGACTTGTGCAGCTGCATGCACAGCTGGGTGCCACCAGCACTGACCCCGCAGGGAAGGCAGCTCACACTTGCTCCTTCTGCATGGACCAAGCAAGAAAAAGTCAGCATCACAACCTGGGAGCCCTTCACAATCAGCCCTGCTCTTAGCACGGTCTGCTATGCCTTTTTGCTTTATGAAGGTCTAATTTCTTTCCCTTTACTGTCAGTGTGTCAATTTTTCCCCACAGCATGGCTGATGACTATTTTTTCTTTACACAAAGTACAGTACCAGTGACATTCTGACAGTGTCAATACAGCCACAGAACACCCACCTGAGCTTTTCAACATGTGAAGTTAGGGCTGTTAGGAGTCAGATTGACAGCCTTGGTAAATTCAAGTCCTCTGTACAGCAGATGACGAGAAGTTATTAGAAGCAGACAAGGCTTTGAGGTTACCTAGTCCATCTCCCACCCCACCTTTTAATTGTCTCTCTCACCCAAGCTATAAATATCTGACTGTTCTCATCTTGTTTCCTCATTATGTCAATTCTAGCAGTCCCTGATCACTTTTATTACTCCTCACTGAAATCCCTCCAATCTGCCAGTAAACTCTCTGGTAATGAGATCCCTGTGCTGAAAGCTCTATTGCAAATAGAGAGGCACCAGACCCACTGACAAGGAGCCATTTCCCCTGCATTATCATCACCTCCTCACCTGCAGCTTGAGAGCCTTCTTGTCTGTTTTTGTTGCTATCAGACATCATTGCCTCATGCTTTGTTCACTTTTCCCTTTCAGAGAGTTTCTGCTGTCTAGGTCTCCCCCATCCCATCAAGCATGTGTCTTTCACATTGTTTTCAAGGTGGCTGAGTTCACAGATGCTACGCCCCAGGTTCGTGCTCCATCCCAAATTGAATCTCTCAATCTTGGGCATTTTTCCTGCTTGGTGTTTCTACTTCCCATCATTTCTTCCTCCTCAACTCTTCCAAATAACAGGGTCTCCTGGTTTCACTCGCAGACTTTCTGCTTCCAAGAAACAGAACTGCAACAAGGCCAAGTATTCAGCCCAGCACCTCCAAACACGGCTCCTGGAAGCATCAGAAGGGAAATGCTGTGCAGAATGACACCACACTGCACCATTCACAGCAACAGCACCTGGAACTGGGCTTTCTGCTCTACTGTAAACACTCTGAGATGCATAAATGCTGGAGAAAGCTCAGAAACAGGCCCCCAAAATAATGCAGGGTCTGGAAAACAGACATTAGGATGCAAGGTGCAAAGGGTTCCACCTTGGTAAAGACAAGGCTGAGCTGAGCTTATCTCTGTGCTTGGGGTACTGACAGCAGGGGAACCTTGCATCCTGCTACTAAAGGCACAGTGAAATCCAGCAGCTGGAAAGTAAAGCCAAACTCAGCCTCAAAATAAGGCAGTTTCATAGCAGCAGAGATGGTTAAATGCTGACAGAGTTGTTACAAAGTGCTGTTAAAGTTTTAATGCAACTTTCTCACTGTCAGCTCTAACTTGAGAATAAACCAGCTTTTGTGCCTGTTTATTCATCTTGTCCTTTCCTTCCTTACCAGGTCCAGCAGAGGAGAGGAGCTCCCACACTGTCGTTCAAACTCAAGACATTTTGTGTTTGGACAATGGCTTTGATCCGATCTGCACTGCAAGGTTTTGAGTTGCCAGTAAACAACCAGGAAAGATATTGTTTTCCACTGTTTCACTTTCCTTCTGACTTCAGACAGGACCCCAGAAAGAATGAACTTACGTTTTGAGACTGGTATTGAATGTTATGACTGAATAGAAGGTTTTTTTGCACATACACAGGCTGACTCCCAAATCAAGGAAGCTGGCAATGTATGGCTCCCACAGCTGTTTTTGGATTGATTTGTCTGTGGGACCTTGTGGGCATCTCTCTCCTCATGTACATCAGCGCCTCACTTGTCACTGACTTCCAAGCTTCTCCAGTTTAGTCCCCTAGTGCCTAGAATGATCCCTCCAAGCCTGAAAATAGATGAAGTCTGAGAGTTTTGGCTTCTTTTAGATAGGAATGACTGGCTGATGTGCCTCTGCTCTTGCAGTTTACAGTTCACAGGAAAATTGTTCCTGGGTATATCCAGCAGCTTCTGCTGCATACAGTATTAGTAAAGTCACAGCCCTCTGAGATGCGGTAGTAAACATGCTTAACCAGCAGAACCCAAAGGATGCTACTGAGGGAGGCAAAGTGGCTTCCACAGAGCTGGGAATCAAATCCAGTTCTGCCATGTCCCCACCATTTTGTTGCAGTTGTAATGCAGTTACATCCTTGTGAACAACTTGGGGAGTCATCAACCTCCAACAATCTCCTTATTACATCAAGCACCAACATTTACCAGACCAAGCTGGGTTTCTTGCTCTTTTTCAGCTGACTTGGGCTTCCAAATCTGACTTGGGCTTCATCCTCCCCAGAGATCACACTGAAAACTCTGCCACACAGCCATGCCAGAGGTGCTCAAGGTAGCCTGTTTTCTTACAGCTACATGGATCCACAATGTTGTATTATTGTCACTGTGCGCAGATAAGCCTTCAAGAGATGCAGGAGCAGCTACGGACTGGGACAGTCATTATCCAGAGGAGAGGCACCAAGCCAGAGCAGACTCCCCTGCTTCTGCTGCTTTAAATTACCTCATTTGATATTCTGTGGTGTCTCATGTAGCATGCAGTTATGTAAATTTATAAATCATACACTAATTAGCACACAATTTCATAAATTTGGTAATGGTGAAAAAGGAGGCTTCCAAGCAACCTGGCTGTGCTCCGTCCCCCTCAAGACGGTACAGATACAAACGCTGCCTGCAGGTCGTATCTCAGAAAATCTCTTCTACAACTTTCAGAGTTTAACCCTGGGCTCGTGTGCTTTCAAGGGATATCTTTTAGATATCTCAGGCTCAATCTTTCTCAAGCATAGCTAAGCCCTTTCCTCTCATTCCTTAACAGCAGACCTCCATAGCTCATTGGGTTACTACATATTTTCTTTTGCTTGTTTCTCCCTTATTCAGATTCTTCCCATATCCAGTCTCACATTCTTCTGTCACCTACGCCCACAACACCATCTCTTGCTAGCAGCTAAATTCAGTCCATGCCTGGATTATACCTAGATTCTACCTTATTACCCTCCTTGTGCTCTGGCCTCCCTGTCTTAGCTACTCAATAAAGGAGCAGCTGAAGCTAGGCAATTTTCTTCTTTCCCTCATTTACCAGGTATCCATTGGACAGTAGCTCTCCAAATGCAGGAAGATGATCTGGAAAAGGAGTGGGGAATCATAAGCCCCTTATGGGAATCATTGCTTGAAGATATTTTTCACGCTGGGATATAAGCACAAAATTCTTCTTCACTGGCTCACTATCTCATCTCTACCATCTGGGTCAGCTCCTCTCAACTTTCTATCATCCTTTGGTACAGCTTGCTGCCTTGCATTCTTGTCCTTTCTTGCCTTTACCTCCATCTTTTCTTTCTTACTCTTTAATTTCACCTTTTTGTCCCAAACCATGATGCTGGCTCTCTTTGGTATTCTGAGACCTCTCATCCACTTCCTGATCCAAAAGAAGTCTTGCTCCTCATCACAGCAAAACCCATGTCCTGAAGAGGATGAGAAAATGATTTCCTCACCTGTATTAGCAAACTGGAGATTCAGAACATATATAACGAGATGATGTGGAAAGTGGAACATATTGTCAATGGCAGAACTGACATCTGAGTTTGACAAAACAAACCAGAATATACGTGAAATAAAACTCTAGAAGAAGAAATAAAATTTGCAGATAATTTATTAGATTAAGACCTTAATACATACATAAATATATGCTCAAGATGGGATTCAACAGCAAGACTGGAGCAGCTAGAAATGGAAGGATGTGATTGCTATAGGTCCACGGCATGCGAGGTGCACACAAGCAATGACTACACAAACACACAGCAGGGGTGCGTGTATGAGCCACTTGGGAAGAACACAAAGTGAAGGCACGGGTGGGAGCCTCAGCAGAAGTCATGTTACTCCACAAAGCCACATGTAGAACACAGCCCGATGTGTATCTGAAGCATATTAACTGCAACACTCTGGACAACAAGCTATGGCTGCACTAACTCCCCAGCGGCAGCTTCCTAATATAGGGGCTTAAACTTAAAAGGACACTGTCAAGTGATTGCTTTTGCTAGTTTAATTTTTGCATTTCCTCTACTGTTTTAGCAGATGGAAAACAATTCCCCTCCCAATCCCAGCTACTGATTTTGTCCTTTCCTATTTGACAATCATTGATTTTTTTTTTTCTAAGGCTATAAATGTTTTAATAACTTCAACTTTGTAGTGCCTCATGGCAAAATATCTTTGCTTGCACTGACTGCTAAACACTGTACCTAATGTACTGCTGATAACTAGAGCAAGAGCCAGCATTATAAAAAATGACTTTTCATAGGGTCTACCAAATTAATAGCTTTGTTTCTTCATCCACATCTCACAGAAACTTAAAACATGCAAGTCTTTACCCATTAGACATTTCAACCATCTTAATTCTAGAAACCTCTGCTGCTCAGTAAAAGTATGCCTCCCATGTAGCTCTGACTGATGGACAGCACTTTGTGCATGGAGTCCACAACCCTGACAATGTCCTTTTAAAAAGAGTTATTACCAAAATACAGATTCAAGACGAAAGTCACCCTTGGAATCAGAATTGTTAATGAACAAAATGGAGCATAAGGAATTCTAAAGCAGTTAAATATTGGCACCCACAAAGAACCAAAGAACAGAATGTTCCCACGCAGTGTTCTCGACGGGGTACACAAAGGCACCTTTCAAGAGATATACATGTATTTTTTGCTGTTTCAAAAGATCAGTTAGCACTTGTTAGAAAAGGCAATTAAAGTTTCAGTCAAACTGGAAAAAAGAATAGCAATTGGACTGAAATCAGAGAACTCTTTCTTTATAAATGCCAAACCTCAACAACATCACCATTCCCTGAACAAAACTAAAAAACACATAAATCAACCCCAAACCCTCAGATCTATGTGATGGCATTTCTTCATGGTTTTACAGTTTTACTGCTGCTTCTTGTACATTTTCCTCTTCTTTCCCTTCCTTTTCCCTGCCCTTTTAAAGAAGCAGACTACTTACACAGCAGAATGAGAAAACCAATTTCCCCACCTGCTATACTTGGGTCAGGGCACTGAATACACCTCTGGGGCTTTAAGCAGAAACCTGTGCCTTCGCAAGAGGGCAACATTCAACAGCAAATGGGCATATTCAAAAGAACTCTAATATTCCACTGACATCAGGGCAGACCAAGGAGGGCCTCCCCACAGTAGTCATTTTCTGGTCCAGCAATGCTGCTTCCGTTCTTTAAACTCCCCCAAGCAGCTTTTAATACTCAGCTGGGATGCACAAAAAGGCTATCACTTAATTTGTGATTAAGACTGGGCCTGAACAAAGCAGCTCAGAGTAACTTGAGGTTCATCTTCCCCCTCATTCTCCTTTTGTTTCATTGCTGTAAGAGCACAGTGCTGCCAGGGGCACGTGCTACATATCCTGCACTCATGCTCTCATCAGAGATGCACCGCAGGTCTCATTGCCGAGCTTTGCAAGCTCCTTGCAGAGCACCAAACAGGAGTAAGAGTGTACGAGGCAGGCAGCAGCAATACCCCAAGGACTGGTACAGCAACTCACTGCCATTAAGATAAGCCGGGTTGCCTAAAGAGACTCTCAGTAAAGCTGTACTGGCCCACGACGTGGTGTTTGGGAGCAAATGGCCTAGAACTTGCCCATACTGGCTCAATTCTACCTTTCCCTTGCTGCAATTTTACTGTGCAAAATGAGTATTTTAGCCTCATATTTCTAGGAACACATGCCGGTGGCTACTGTTACAATAAAATATGAACACTGCATTGTGCAGAAAATGATCATTAATCCTGTAATCTGCAGTCATTTTTACCAATTCGGCACATTTCTTTAAATAACCAAGTACATGCAGTAGATGGAAGTGCATTTAAATAAACTGAAATAGATACAGCATGAATAATTAAAGCCATCAGGGAAACGTGCATTGTGAGCCACTAGTGGAAATAATTACTGATTTGTCTTATTTACAATGGAGCCTGGGTACAGGATCAAAATAGTGCAAATTAGTGAAAATGTCTTAAGACTGTTATTATACTACCACTATAATATATTTTATCTTGAAAAGTACATCAGGTAAGTTTGGGACCACTACAATGTCTGACTGTGTTCTCCTATTTCTGGGTGAGGCTACCCAGCACATAAACTCTGTCAAATAGCACTGATTTAAAAAGTAATATAGTTCAAACAGATGTGTAGTACATCAACCTGCAACTCTTCTATTAATGTTATTAGACATTGTGTAGTTGAGGTTACAACATATCCCCTAAAACCCCAGTGTTAAATATCAGAATGCTGACAGAAAAAGTAGATAATAAAATCACTGGAAAAAAAGTACTAAAGTGCTTGTACACCTATAATATAATATGCCAGGTTTGAAACAGACTTGTTTAATTAGAAAATAATCTACTTTGAACCTAGTGGTTCTTGAATGTTAGGCAGTTCTTGCAAACTGCTTCAGAGCTAAAAATCGATAATGAAATATACTTCTCATATGAGGCTGGCAAAACTGTGACTTCAACCTATTAGAAAATGTTGTAGATTAAAAAATTCCTGTTTTAGAATGATTACTTGGCATATGAAAGGTTTAGGAAAAAAAAAAGTTAACACTTTCTGACTGGTCTACCCCAACTATGTTCTAGCACCATCACTAAATCCAAAATGAAACTGGATGCTAATCAGCTATGCTTTAGAAGAGAGAAGACAAACAGTTGTCACTCCAATAATTTAAAAATGGCACTTTAACACAAACAAATCAGCAATAAAGAGGTCCTAAAAAGACATAAAAATTAAAGACCAATGAGGCATGTCAAATGAAGAAAATCTCCTCGAGGAGCCTGCTCTCCTCCAGCTCATCCACTCTGCTTCTGGGGCTGCAAGGGGTCTGGTACCAAGACGATGATGGCCTGTGGCTCACGTGATGAGGCGTGTGCATTTTGTTCCTGTCGTAAGATTCTCTGCAAAGGTGTCCTGGGGCAGATATTGGATTCATTGCCTCAACCATTTTAAGAAGACAGTCTTCGTACCTACAGAAACACACAAGAAAATGGAACTAAATTAAGCATCACAGCACTACACAGGAATTCAATCCAGTCTTCCCACTTTCGTAATTCAAGCTAGACCTAGATTTGTCTGATGGGGGCCACTAGCACAGAACCAATTTTGCTGTATGGGTTCCTATGAGGAATACCAACACAGAGGTAGTGAAAAAAGAGGCGAGCAAAGCATGGGTGCTCAGGTTATTTTAAGTTGTTTCATCAGCTTTTCCATTTGAGGTGTGTAATGTCTTAGTCGCACTCCAGAGACTGAGGACAGACTTCAGAGATATGACAGTGAAATACACTGAACAGGTACAAGGCAGACCCACACAAGTAATGGTAAAGTGACTTATTCACATGCTGCACTTTTTTGAATAGACCTCTACACTTGATTTAGTTTCTCAGGGATTTGAAAACAGCAGGAGATTTTATTATTATTGCCACAAACCACACGTGCTTCCTGTAAATCTCTGTGCACTATATGGAGTCTGTTTGGTGGAAGCACTGAAGGAATATAATCTAAGCAAGGCAATACAAAATCAACACTTGAGGCACTAAGAGAAAAGGCAATGGTGCTAAACATTATTCAGGCTGCCCTTTAAGTGGGAGTATGGATGTGGGGGAAGGTTGCAAGCCAGTGTTAGGTGGTAACGCATGCTGAATAATGGCAGTTACTTCAGATAGAGACTTCCCACTAATATTCACACAAGACCTGATCTAAATACCAGCACAGCACTGATCATTACAATATATTTTCTCCTAGCTTTTAAGTGTCTTAAACAATACCATTTCCACTGTTTCCCCAGGGATTCTGCTCTCCAGTCTAAGAGCTATCACTCAAGAGTTTTACCCTAAAGTCCCCTTTGTTCCATCCTGTTGTTAGCACTGACCTGCCTGATGCTCACAACTCTGAAATAATTCACACATTCAATGAATTACATGCAGGAAACATGCTTCACCAACCTAAAATATCAGTGTAACTGGTTGGCTTCCATAGGGTTCCTCTCTTCTAAGCAGAAAGAGTTCATCCACAGCATGAGGAAACATCTCAAGCAGTTTCCTGCTTTGAGAAAACCCTCTGTTTTTCCTTTCAGGACAGTGGGAGCCTAGGAAGACTAAACAACTAGAGACAGCTGGGTAGGTTCCTCAACTCAGATGAGATGAAAACTTCAGTACAAACATTCACAGCAATTTACTGATGTGGAAGATTAGCACTGGCCAACGTATCTCCCAAAGGCAGAGTAACAGTTGTGCTGTCCAATAGCATCATGAAGCAGCACCAGCAAGCAAAAAGACTTCTATCTTCAAATTAGCAACTCTGTGTAAAATATCCTTCATTAGCTCCAGCGGTGACTGGCATGTCCCACCATTATCAGAAAAATTGGCCACGACAAGGTAACTCAGTTATGTCTGAGACACAGATATACTTCCTCAGCTCAAAGGAGGTGGTACTGTTGTGCTGATGAGATAATATTGATGTTAATACCAACCACTGGAGTCATGCTATGATTGCTTGCAAAAGCCAGCTCCTACATTTCCTTCAGTTCTTACAGTTTCTTCAATCTGATGGTCAGCATTGTTTCTGACACAGTCTGACTCGATACTACTGCCGCACAGGGCTCTCTCCTCTATTTGACTATCTATAGATTGTCTTATTTTCCCATGGATGTACTAACTTGCATTTTACCCAATCAGAAACCCATTTTGCTGGTTTCTTTTTCACTTTTTAAAGCTTGTCTACATGTCTTCCTATTATCTGTCTGTTTAAATCACCCCTCATACCAAAAATGTGTGATTCAAAACAAAGAAATCACAGCTTTGTTTTGTTTCAGCTGGACAGTGTAAGTGGCTGACCCTACATAATGCTTCACAGTCACCCTAATCATTTCAGAAGGACACAGGGGTTTTAGGCACCCAAGCAAGCCTGTTTTAGAGGGGTCTGCTGCCTGCATTAGTATTCAGAAAGTACCGTCTAAAAACCAAGGCTCCTTAAAGATATCCCTAACCTAAGATGGAGTAAGCCGCGCTGATAGTGAGAACTATCACATAGCTATATTAGACTTCTCACGTAGAGAAAGTTTTGGACTAGACTCTATATAGATATACACAGATGCTTTGAACCCCGAAGAAACCCAGTTAACACATACGCCGGTTTCATTAGCCACACCTAAAACTTCTTTTTAGATTAATCTAGTCTAGCATACAAATGCTTATCTCCTCTGACTTTAGTGCTATCATAAAATTTCAATTTCTCTAGCAGCCACATTCAATCACAGATTAGGTAGGGGGAAACCAAACCAGCCAGTGCATTTACAGCAAACGTGCAGGCCCTAGATTTCAGCAGTACCTTCGAGTTCATTTCTTCTGCAAGTTTATCTAAGTTTTACAGCATTTCTGCTATCAGGAAGGCTAAATGATTTGGCAGATTACAAGCACAGCAAATAGCAAAGATTATGTAAAAGACCAGGTGTTGTAAATCAGTCTATTTGACACCACAGTTATATATGCAATAAAGTGAATGAACTCTGCTAACAGAGAGCTATCTGATAAAGAGAATGCTCCTTGCAGGTATTTAGTGTTTAATCCCATGATAATGGTTTGCCCTGGTTTGTCTAGGCAGCATCAGACAGCATGTGGCTGGAGGCAACACAGTAGACTTAGAATGGTTTGAAGCTTGCAAAGATAATTTTCTCACCATTTATTCGTATCCAAATATTTAAAGAGACACAGTCAGAATGCTCAAATCCTGAAATGTAACTTTCTCTGAAACCAGGATATGTATTCCTTGCACGATTTGAATAAATGCATAAGTAAAGCCATACTTCATTATTATTAATACGACACGTAATGGCTTTAGTGAAGTCAAAGCTGCAGGATCAGGCACCCAAGAGTCAGAGTGTGTCAAATGGGAAAACTGATCTGGCAAATTTGGTTTGTGAATACCCAATGTTCTTTTAATGCAAATTAACAGCCAAGGCTGCCCTCTTATTGCTCATGGTTCCCAAGGAGAAAAACTCCCCAAACATTCCGCAGAAGTACCAGTACTGTACATTAAGCCACATAGAGAAATCCCTCATGTATTGGTTCAAGCAAGCAACCAAATGTTCCATCTGTGCTAGATGCTTACACACATTTTCTTCGATTTTTTTTTTCCCTCTCAACAGAAGCAAAATGAGGGGGCCATGTGTCCCTTTAAGTATGTGATAACTCACTCTGTATTCAGGTTTTTGGTACATTTGCCAATGTACTGGAAAGTCAGTGAGCACCTCCATAACAGACTGGTAAACAATCTCTTTTCCAAGCCTGGTTTTGATACTTCCCCCATGTATATTTTTTCATCTAACTTTCACAAGCTTGAAAGTCTGCATGTTTCATCATGGAAGAAGAAAACTTGTAAAGCCTACAGGTTTGGGTTAGAAGTCTAACTATGTGGACAGCTCGAGTTTAGTGAAAGTATCATAAAGTCACCAAAAATTCCACCTGGAGAAGGGACACAAGGAATTAGTGTACAAAGCATGAGGAAGGCAGGGGCATGTGCAATAGGACAGAGATGGGAGTAGAGACCCCAAGGTAAGCTTTGAAGCTCTTCTTTCAGTGAAGAAGCTTGACCTTTGTTTTTAATGTAGAAGGTAAAACTCCAAATACTGCTCAGAGAGGAGCCTTAATGAACTGAGAGGTAGGTACCACTGGGATCAAGCCAGCGCAACTGGGTCAGTGCAGAATTGTGAGCTGGGTGGTTAAGTCCATCCTGGCCAGGCATTGCAGTGCTGTTACAGTATTCCCTTTTTCTCCTCTGTACAATTAACACAGGTTGTTGGAAATTTGGCTCCTCTGCCACTAAAGCGCTTCTGGAGATTTTATTAGAAACTTTCAGCATTGGTTCCTAATTACATAACTATCTAATAGAGTTTATAAACTCTTAATATCTGAAGGGGGCCTACAAGGATGCCTGAGAGGGACTCTTCATCAGGGATTGTAGTGACAGAACAAGGGGTAATGACTTAAACTGAAATAGGAGAAGTTCAGGTTAGATATAAGGAAGAAGTTCTTCCCTTTGAGGGTAGTGAGGCACTGGAACAGGCTGCTCAAAGAACTGGTGAATGTTCCATCAGACAGAGCCTTGGACAACATGGTCTAGTGTGAGGCATCCCTGCCTATAGCAGGGGATTGGAACTGGATGATTTTAAGGTCCTTTCCAACCCAAGCCATTCTATGATTCTATAATGTAAATAAGTTTTGTAGTCCATCACTAAAGTAACAGGAAACATCATAAACCATTCCAATGCAGAACAGCTCATTAAATGTTCACATTTTAAAGAGAAAAACAGTACAAAAATAAACTCAAGTTGGCAAGACCCGAATTCTTCCTTCTATAGTATTGCTGTTTCACTGCCTGTACAGCAGGAACGCAACTCTCTGAACATCTACAGGTGCATTTTACTTTGCACTGTGTTTCCAAATTGAATGGGAAGTAAGGCTTTCGCATTTCTATGACAAACAAGCAAATGTGGCTGTTGCTCTGGGAACCATAAGACTACTTATTCCCAGGATAGTTGCTAAGAAATCATGTGAAACCACTTGGTATTCTTCCTAATAAAACCTGCTAGGAAATCAGAGTTCAGACAGTCCCACAACATACAGTACCTAAAAAAAAAAAAAATGGTCAGATTATGCAAACGTAATGCACAGAACTCATTACTGCACAGGATATTAGAGAGAATGTTGCTCTTGAAGGTAACCACCGAGCATTCTCACAACAATTGGTTGAACAGCAATGTTTGTTTATTTATTTAGATATTTGGGATATGTCATTGAATTTTTAATGTTTGTCTATTTCCCACTGCTGGTAAAATATATTTCTTACATGCTGTTCAATTTTTAAGCTGCAGTACTGTATTTTCATATTGCGCAGTCCCATTTAACTAATAGTATCATTTGTTCCTTTATGAAAAAAAGGCACAACCCCAAACAAGTCTGATACTTGGAGG